GTGTCTCGCGCTGCTCTTCTTGGCCTGGAACGACATCCCGATCGATCTGTGATCAGCTGATTGATCCGCTCACACACGCACACAGACACAGCCAGCTATTGTTGCGCCCGTCGACACTGACGTCACGTTTCCGACAACACAGCCTGACACAGCTTCCGGTGGGAGCTTCAAAGTAAATCTCCCGAACGTGTCTTCTTAGAGTAATCAGAGTAAAAGTACGAGTATTGGAGGCACATTAAGAAAAAATATATTTTATTGATCATTTTTTGAATAAAGTCGAAGTTTCGAGATGAGAGAGGTAATGTGGAGATCCAGTGTGAACGGCTGCTGTAACACACCGAGGCGCGTCATAGCTCATACACACAGGACGCACATAACGGAAGCTGCATCTGTCGGAGGAGGGGGTCTGTGCAAATGATGGTCAGATGCCAGGTTCTTGCAGCCTCGGCAGTCAGTTTGCGTTGAAACAATTCATCTCTAAATTTCATCATTTTCCTCAGAATGATGTCTGGTTCTAGTTCAGACTAACAGCAACGAGTCAAAATGATCAAATGCTTTAAAGCGTTTATAATGTTTTAAATGCTTTAAACTGACTCCGAGTCCACATCGACTCTATGAACTGAGCAGATGCTGCTGTTATTACAAAACGCTGTGTTTTTATTAAATTAGGAGATCCAGCGACTAAACAAAGAGCAGGTTCAGCTCAGCTTTAACTTTTTCATCAACATCAACTTTCAGGTTTTAGAGCAAATTAACAGCCTTTTATTCTGAAAGGAGATTAGACCTCTCGTCTTGGCTTCTGATTGGCTCTTAGTGTCAACTAGTGGTCACAGATTTATTGATCTCGTGATGCGAGTTGGATATTTTTTATTTGGATATAATTACACACAGTACGGAACAATAACACTCATGCTGCATGGCTGCACTGTCATTTAATCCTTTTAGCAGAACTGTACGCATACTTTTGTTTATTAGTCTGTCTATTTTTTATTATATTGTTATTTTATTCTGTAGAATGAATCATGAGTGAAAGCATGTAATAATGCATGTGTGCTAGTCTGCTCCAATTTCTCTGTAAGTACAACGACAGAAAAGGAATCTTTATCTGCTGAGGCCTGAAGGATCTGTTTATCTTCACCTACATCTGCACAAGCATATACTTGGCTATATTATTGCTAATATATATTGTAATATATCTATATCATGGCTAAAGCACTTCTGGATGGATGCAAACTGCATTTCGTTGCACTGTACCTGTGCATGTGCAATGACAATAAAGTTGAATTCTATTCTATTCTATTCTAAGCACATACAAGGGAGTTTTGAGAGTCTGTCCATCTCAAACCTGCAGTAGGATGTATTCAACAAGAGCTGGTGATGTCCTGCAGATCCTTCCACACTGATGCAGGATCGTTGGCTGAGAGCAGTTCTTTCAGCTTCTGGGAGTAGATCCTTTTAGCTACTTTGGTCCGTGTGCTCCTGGTTTGTTTGTACAGGGCCCTGTCACCACTTCTGTAGGTGTCCTCTTTGGCCCGATGAAGATGTTAGAGTTTAGGAGTGAACCATGGTTTATTGTTGTCTTGGTTGGCACACACACATCTTCACAAAAACTGATATATGATGTCACAGTGTCTGTCAGCTCATCCAGGTTCTCAGCTGCAGCTTCAAAAACAGTCCAATCAGTGCAGTCAAAACAGTCCTGCAGTTCCTGCTTTGCTGCGTTAGTCCACTTCTTCATAATTAATAAATAAATGTAAAATAAATGATAAATGAATAAATGTAAAATAAGCTCAGCAGGCTCAAACACACAAACTTCCATCATTGCCAGTACGATGGTGGAGGGATGATAAACTGAGTGGAACACGAACTCCTTTCTACACTAAAGTATTCTAGAGTCAAAAAGTGAGGCCATCTGTTCCACAGCTGAAGCTTGGACCACACTGGGTCATCAACAGGACAATGATCTTAAGCACAGCAGCAAATTTCCAACAGAATGGCTGAAAAAGAAAATAATCGAGGTTCTGCAATGATCCAGCTTTGTGGTTGTTGGTTGGTATTTGGTTTTTGGTTGGTTGGCTGTTGGTTGGTGTTTGGTGCTTGTTGGTTTTTGGTTGGTTGGCTGTTGGTTGGTGTTTGGTGCTTGTTGGTTTTTGGTTGGTTGGCTGTTGGTTGGGGTTTGGTGTTTTGTGGTTGCATTTGGTGGTTGTTGGTTGGGGTTTGGGATTTTGTGGTTGTGTTTGGTGATTGTTGGTTGGTATTTCAATGTTGTTGGTTGGTGTTTGGTGG